TTGAAGTGAAAACATCTTTAGGAGAGTTTTGCACCTTTTTTGTGGATAGTGAATTAGATTGATCCGTCAGATTTTTGAAGTGTAACGCACGGGAAAAGTCGGCTGGAGTCGACTAATTGAAGTGTTTTTGCATATGGATTAAAATATCACAAAAACTAAAAATCAGACCTGCATACTGTAAGCGAGGAAAATGTTCATTATTTCATCCCCTTGTAACGAGCGATTATTCAAAATTATATCTTAACGTGACGCCGTGTTAGAGAGGCAAAAAAATTAGTGTCGAAAACAAAATTATAACGAGTTTTATTAAAGATATGGATTAAAATATCTCAGAAACTAAGTTTATCATTTATCTCTCTGAAACGGGCTATGATTCAAAATTGTTTCTTAACTCGAAGCCGTGTTAGTGAGGCAGAAAGGAAACAAATCATTTCGAAAACCAAACGATAACGAGTTTTAGAAACTGAATATCAGATCTGCATACTGTAAGCGAGGGAAATGTTAAGCATTTTATCCTTTTTATAATTCAGCTATTATTTATAATTAATTTTACAACTTTTGAATATTTCCTTGTTGATGTTTTAATTTCTATCATGTGGTCCAAAGCACACAGCTTAGTTTTTTTGTCTCTTTTTTAATATCTTCATTAGTACCAGTAATGGTTGAATCAATAAAAAAAATTGTTACTGAATTTTTAATTGATATTTTAGGCACGAGGAAGGGCCTATCCAATGAGCCCTAACTCAGCAGTACATGTTTCTTAAATTCAGGACAGATCAAGGATTTCTAGAACGAGGTTGAATGGGACAAGTTGCGTCATAAATATATTTGAGGGGGTCACAAATTTACCGAGTCTTGAATTTAGAGGTGGGTAAATTTTGACGGCGCTATGAATTCTCGAAGCAGATCATCTTTTTGTGCGGTTTCGAATAAGGGAAGAACGTTCGACCGTGGAATAAGAGAGCAATATAATTTCTTGCGGTGGTGGGGCCATAGGCCATCGACCTAGAGGAAGATGGACATCCTAGGAACAAGAGATCTCTCATCCAGCTCCTTTTGATTACTTTCAGATAGACTTGTTAGCCGTGACCATGCCTTTTGAAAATCTATTGTTTAGGAAATCTATTGTTATCTGCTTAAACATTCTCGGTTCTAGCGCCACGGATAGAGTCATTATATTCCCACTCAGGTTAGAACATGTTTGGTTGTGCCTTTAAAATGAGAAGGTAAGCGAAAAAAATAGGTTGTGTCCCCATAGTTAATTATTACATCAGGAGTATAGAATATGTAGGTATTATGTAATAATAATGGTATGTAATAAAATTTAGCTATCAAGAAATCCCTATTATTATTTTTTTTTAATAATTTATTTATTGAATAATTGTGGGTAAAATGGTTGACTGTCGTGAATAATGAAGAGAAGAATAGTTGGGACGATCAGTCAAATAAGAAGGCAAAAATAAATATTATCATTTATTTTCGCCTTCTTATCTGACTGATCACCCCAACTATTCTTCTCTTCATTATTTATTGAGTAATAATACAGTCAGCCACTGCTAGAGGGCTATAAATAAGTACTTGGACTAAAAGTTCTCATTCATACAAGATATATAAATAATAGAGAAATGAATACAAATATTAAAAGTAAATAAATAATACTGATGAAGAAAGTAAATAAAAGGAAAAAAAAGTAAACAAATAAAATAAAATAAAAACTTCTAAACACAATCATAACAATATACATTCGCCCAGGAATCTCCGAGCCAGGCTTTTCCCCCCACATGTGGAAGGAAAAACAAGACTCCAAGAGATCCCAGTGCCACTTTTCATCCCAGAGCCGCATCACTAGTATTAGAAGCCAGTGGAGACTGAAAGGGGGCACTATAAATCCGTCTATTATTAGTCATAAAATTTTCGATTGAAAGTTATTATAAGTGCGTCTTTTTTCGCTGAACAATAAATCTGTGCAGCGTATGTCCATACAGATTTATATCGGTAAGTATATGTATTTAGTTTTTTATTCTTATTTTAAATTTTAGATAGTACAGTAACTTCAATCTCTTGTTTAAAGAGATTATTCTTCTGTCGAATATCAGTCCAATTGAATGCCCTCTGTTCATCTGAGAAATTTGGTTCTGACCAAACTGCTTGGAACGTTTTTCTCGAAGTTTAAATTTCAAATGTTGTAGTTTGTCATGTTTTTTTCTTATTTTCCAAAATGAGTTAAAATTTTGTAAATTTATTAAGTAATTATACAAAATTGAATTATTATTAAAATGAATTATATCAAAACAAAGTTGGCCTTATCATTTACAAAAGCACTTCAGAAATAGTTGACTATTATCAATCATCATAAATGCTTACATTTTTACTCTTAGACGACCAAGATGCCCAACCGAACTGGCCCTTCAACAGTAACCAGTTGTAGGATCCTCCTAACGATGTAGTGAAATACTACAATATTTATCTAGATTTTCGCCCTACATGGAATCACCACATCATTGTTAAACAAACGCAGATGTCCAAAGCAAAAAAGGGAATTTATTCCATCATCAGCAGAAAATCCAACCTAAAACAGAATACAACTGCCCTAATTTATAAGATAATATTAAGGCCGTTACTGATGTACGGTTGCAAAATGTGGAATCGTGTTCAAAATTAAAAATTTTACAAACTTTTCATAATAGGATTCCTAGAACTGCAGAATTGAATAGAAACATTCAATTAACTAAAACAACAAAACACGCTTAACCAGATTTGGTTTTTAGTTACCAGCTGTTGCAATGACTTTTAATATAGGAACTCCAATGTTATCCCATAAGCCGAAACCCAGGATTATGTAAGATAGCCTAATGTTAATTCCATTGTATATATAATTGATTTTTATCCTATTTCTCTTATATATTTTTTAGTTCTTTTTCTTCTTCCATTATTGATTTTAACGAATTGTAATTATTTTTGTTATCCTTCGTTGTCTGGTTTTATTGTGTTGTTATTAATTTTATTTTACTGAGTATAAATTATTCCACAGATATATCATTCGGGATATCATCAGATATATGTATCATTCGGGGTTTATTTAGTTTGAGAAAATACACTCGCTTGCCAAAAAATGATTTCTCTGGTATGGGTTACCCAGCCGATCTGGACATAAGAATATAACTATATAAATAAAAAATATACGAGAAATTGTTATAAAAATAAGGTGAATAAAATATCACTTTATCAAGTGTGTCAAACAAAAATTGCATTACATATTAACGTGGAAGAGAAAAAATAATAATGAATTAAATGTTATGAAATGATGTAAGATTCCGAGGAGCAAATCTTAAATGTTTAAAATATTATTAAAAAAATAAGCATTTAGTGTTTGACTGATTCATTCTACGCGGAGGAGAGGAAATTGGGGTTATAATAGATACCTCAGAGAAAACAAAGTTTTATTTATATATAAAAAAAACAACCCTTAACCGTATGATTACAATAATTCTCTAAGCTTTAGTCACATAATATTGTATTAAACCTAAACATTTGTTTTAATAACAAAAAAAAGTAAAATATTAGGTTTGGTCTATAAGGTAAGTCGTTGATATCAGTAATTATTTACGGACTATGCAACTAGTAATATTTGTATTTATTTTTAATAATAAATTTACGTAAAACCTGTATTTTTTTCAAATATTTGTCCAAATCATAGTCTATAGATATGTAGCTCAACAATAATCTTGAAGAACCGCTTAGTTTGTGTTGTTTGTTTGTTTTTTTATATTTTTTGTAGTCCCTTTGTTTTTGTCAGATAGTATTTTTTTTTCAATATTAAATGCCTAATAAAATATATATTATGATTTTAAATATATATATTATGAACCGCCACCGATATTTATAGATAAGCGGTACCAACCATAATACAGCAGAAACATTAGTATATAAGTCCGATACTGAAAAATTGGAAATAAATAATGCATGCAATATAGATCCAATCCGAGTATATTTTCAAATCGGCTAAAAATGATAAATTTATTGAAATATCATGTATGAAACTTTGTGGTAATATTTATTGAGTGATATCCTTCACTTGAATAATTGATTCTTTGTTAAAATACTGGCAATTAAAATAATTCAACATTACTTTCAATAAAAAGTTGAGTGAACGAATTACAAACGTACCGATGACAAATCATGTATTTTTCATAGATTTCTTTTGTATTTTTCAACAGTGTACACAAAATATATACACAAAAAGATAGAATTATAAAAAAAAATAGATATTATTATTAAATAAATGTTGACATAATATTTATATCAGTATGCAGAGAACAACTTCAATTTAATATTATATATTTTTTTTATATTGAATATCAATACATTGTTACATTGAAGGGCATTAATATTAATACTATATTAATCAATCACGCAATATATGCATACAAATAATAACTAAGATAGAGATAATAAAGAAAAAGAAACATAGAAAAATAAAATAAATAAATTAATATGCATGTATACAAAAACAATAAATAATAAATCGAAGCTAAATTGAAATTAAAGTAACTAAAACACATTTATACCTAAATATTATAAATAACTAATAATTAATGTAATTAATGGTTGAAAAATTGACCAAGTAGGTCCTCTGAGATATTTCGTAGATTCTGGCTATTCTTCATCTGATTTGCAGGATACTTTGAAAATATGGAAATGACCTGAAAACGTCTTGTTATTAATTGAATAAATTATTAAAATATAAAATGTTCAATTATATTTCTTTTTAAAATAAGGAATCGTACGTATTCTATTTTTCTATGCATTTTTTTTTTATTTACGATAGTTATTTTGGGTGATGCTTTTATGGAACATTAGTTTTTTTAAGATTAATTTATTAGTAGTATATTTAAGGTTTATATTTTATTGTGGTAATGTGAGTTGTGCTCAATATGAGTGGAGGGGGGAAGCTAGTCTATATAAGAGCAACGTTGAGCAGCTGAAGTTCAGTCGAGTTTTAGCAGTCGAACAAGCAACTGGTAACAGACCTCGTCCAGCCTAAGAGGTACGTCTAAATGTCTCTTCTGCGTCACATATAATATTATATGTGATATTATTTTTATATTATAGACACAAGTTAATAATATATACATAAAAGCAAAAACATGTCGAAAAAGATGTTCATTCATCAGATCCAGTAGAAGGGCAGAAAATCTTCAAAAGATCCTCTGACAATGTATATAAAAACACACAATAATATATAATAATTATTTTCTTAAAAATAAGCAAACAATCTTTAAAAAAATCTTCCTTCTGTTTTTTTTATTTTTTTTTATTAATTCTCTTACAAACTCGACGTTTCGGCACGCTGCCCTATCTTTAGGAATATTCTATTTCCTACTGTTCCTAAATATTGTCATATATGTTGTTCATAATATTTTTGTGTTGTCAGTTTTCTTAAAACTTTTTACTTCTTTTTTACTGACTGTGTCAGAGTAACAATGCAAGATTAATAAGAATATTACAACATAGAAAAATTATATATAAAAAATAGTACAATATTTAGGAACAATAGGTGGAATCCCGAAACGTTGAACGTGGAAACGAAAAACATAAGTAATAAATAAATGTATCTCCTGAAGAACATTCAATTTGTTTTTTGCATACATCCAAAAAAATATAAAACTATCCGTTCTGTGTAATGTTGTAATTTATCAAAAATGATATTTAGATTACTACATTAATTTTCTAATTTATGTAACAGGAAATCCATTTAAAAGAAAATCACGATTCCTTTGTGAAATATATTTATTTGAGTACTCTGAATAGTTGGGATCGAAAAAAAAAAGATTTATAAAATAATCATAAAATAGAAAAAAATATTTTTCAGTTGTAATTTAATATAGTTTTTAACTATTTTCCGACAAGGTCAAATATTCTAGAAATTTTTTTTTTTTGTAAATCGAAATGAAAATGAATAATTTAAAATTGATTCCATATTATATTTGTTTCTATCTTGCATAGAAACCGTGTGCAAGCGGAGTATAATTGCAAAGTGTGATTATATTCTTGCTTAATATTATATCTTAATAAAAAAACTATAAATATAAAAAAAATATAAAAAACAAGAAAATATTTTAATATACAACTTAGTGAATAATAGATTAGAATATAAATATCAATTTTATTCTGGGACAAAGCCCTTTAAGTATAACAATATTTTTATATAAATCAGAATTTCATCTGGCCAAAAGAGCTATTACTTAAAAGAATAACTGAAACATGAGTAATAAAACAGGTATATACAGAACTAATAACTAATAATGAAAGCAGGTGAGCAATAATACGATCACAATACTGAAATATCACTGCTTAATAAAAATAAAATAAAAATAACTAAATGAAATTGAAAAGGAATGTTAAATTAATTTTATGAGCAACCATTGTATCAATAAAAAAAACTAAATAAAAGTATGTAACAGTACATATGTACAAGATTTTTATGAATATGTATACAACAAAAAATCCAAAATTAAGATAAGATATATAAAACAATTAAACAATTAGTCAGGTAAAATTTATACTAATATTGACAACCACACATTCATATGTGCTTTTTAGTTAACTCATAGAAAACTATTCTTATCATGTTAAACAAGCTTATCTTTTTATTAATCGTTGTATGTATGAATTTCTTAATAAGCCCCGTTTCGGAACTACAAAACAATCTTCAATCTTTCATTATAAGTAAAAAGAATATTTTAAAATCAATCATTTAATTAAAAATACAATCTTCAATCTTTCATTATAAGTAAATTATTAAAAAATCCATGATAACATAAATTATGATGCATGCAAATAATAGATGATAAATATAAATTTATAAATTGCTTTCTATAAAGTATTCGTATTAGTAACACATCAGTTTTTAGTATGTCATGTTTCCTAGGTATCTTGTTATGTTCAAAGCTTGAAGAGAAAAAATAAAAAGAAAATTGGCATTAATAATGCAGTTATTAACACTCTAGTTGGGATAAGTTTTATCTGCAACTGATTCATTTGCTCTACAACAAATCTACTTTAAAATTTGAATCTAACAATATTCCAACACCTTCCTATCATTTATATAGAACTATATTATGTAGAATATATAGTATTACTCATTAAGTATTTTGTATTATTAAAGTTAAACTTATAACATATTATCTGAATTCGTGAAAAATACGAATTTTACGTAGTTAAAAATTACCTGAAATTAATGTAAAGATAAATATTATATTAGTGCAAGATGGATAATATTGTTAAAAAAAATTATTCAATTGATTAAAGACGTTCAAACTTTTTTTTTTAAAATTGTTTATTAAATTTTACTAAATAATTCTCATTGAAATACACACTAGTAATAGTGATACTGAAGTAAAACAAATAAAATGGAATAACAGGCAAATAATAATCCTAATATATATAAACAAAAGGAAACTAAACCAACATCACACAATTCTCAAACATGCGGAGGGAAAAGCAGGACTCAAGGAGATCCCTGTGCCTCTCTCTCAGCTCCATCACTAGTGTTAATGACCAGTGGAGGTAGAAAAAATACGCTATTATCCTGAAAAAGTTAATAATATTTATTATACATTGTATAAGAAAAATTTACGAAAACTACATAATTTATATTTAATTTATTTAAGTCAAACTATTTGTTGTTGTTTGAATTAATGCTATTAAAATTTAAGCTAAAATTAAGATATCATAATTAGTAATTTATTATATATTTTCACTTAATAATATTTAATAAGTTCTGATAATGGAAAAACAAACCCGAAACATTATCGAGTGAATTAAATTTTATGTAAAGTAAATTTTCAATTAGATTTTTTTTTTAGCTGCTCAAAATATGGTTCAAAAACCCGTAATATCTATCTGTGTACACAGAAAGTAATAAGCATTAGCCATACTTGGCATTAAATGAGAATTTAATCAATTGTTTCCTACGACCAATAATAGTAGTGGACATCAGATTTTCCGGGAACTATTATATTTTTTTTTTTTTTTTTTGACTCTATATCTTCATCCGCACCTGTCATGGTAGTGACAATTAGCAGATTAGCTGTTTAAATTGAAAATGACATGATAGGCATGACGAAGAATGGAGCCCAGCAGCACCTCTTCCCTGGCCTGTTTACATCCTAAAATCAGGAAAGGAGATCTCTCATCCAGCTCCTTTTCAGTCGCCTCCTGATGAGCATTTCAGCCGTGGCCATGTCTTTGATAAGTCCATTGTGATGTCCGTGTAGTTTTAGATGAAATCGGGAATAAAGAGTACGTATGTGCTGGTCAATGGTTGGTTGTCTTAGGTCGGTATGTAAAGTCTTATTGTTGACGTACCAGGGAGCTGCAGTTATTAGTCTTAAAATTTTAGATTGAAAGGATTGTAGTTTTTGTAAGTGAGTCTTTTTTGCTGAACCGTAAATCTGTGAGGCGTATGTCCAAATGGGTTTGAGCAGGTAAGTGTATGTATTTAGTTTTTGTCTAATTTTCAATTTTGATTTAGAAAACAGTGAGTACAGTATTTTCAGTCGCTTGTTCAAACTCTTTCTTTTCATTTTGATGTGTGGGCCAATTAAATTATATTAAATTAACATTAAGTAATTCGTACTGTTACCTAGAGCGGAAAGATAGTGGCACCTTTAGTAATTAAATGTTTAATTTTGTAGTAAATTGTACATTTGCTCTCAAATTATTATGATTATATTTAATTATATTAGTAAGAGGTATGCCTTAAAACAAAAAAAAAAAAGAAAAGAAATATTTATTCCTTTATCTATTCCAAAATTTATGGTAAAATACATCGGGATGTTCATTAATTTACATGTTCGTTAAACAATTGAAAATATAATGTTTAACAGTTAGCTGATAGATAACTTCTCTAAAACATAGTAATATTTGGTTGGGATAATTAAAGAAAAAGTTACGTGATTGAAAATTTAAATATTTGAAAGTTATACCTGATCCCACATATATACCTTATTCAACTCAATTTTTTTCGTAACGCTTGACACATTTAAAGAAAAAATATTCCGAAATCGAAATATTTTAAAAATTTATATTTCTCAAATTACTTGATTCACTTCGAAAATGTTTCTAGCAACAAGGATAGAAGATCTCTCGTTAGAGGTTGGAGGAATGTATTAAAGCCAAACCGATGTCATTTTGTATAAAAATAATATTGTTAAACTTTATTTTTCTTTCATCTGCCTCAGGCCCTAACAAAACTGAATCCTAAATGTTACAATCCAACATAGGAATGTCTACGTTAGAATACCTTTTAGAAATAAAATAAAAGTAATAATTTGATTTAAGACCACAACTTAGTCTTATGTTACAGTATCCATCTCAATATCTAAAGTTTTGTACATTTGTTTTACAACTACAAATTCTACAAGAGAAGTTTGGTTATATCAGGAATAACTAATTATAATCAATATTTTTTTGTGTAAAGGTACTACGTAGAAGGCATTTGATAAAGTATTTTATCAAATTATTGGAACTTCCTTATATATGAAACTATTTTGAAATATTCAGACCTGTTAATGTTATTTGTTTTTATTATTTCTTCATCGGAAGAATATTAAATTTAAGTTATTTTGAAAACTATTTTAATTATATATGGTTTGACTGTTAAAATATATTTTTATGCCTCATAACAATTAAAAACCAGAATCATTAATTAATAAGACCTATAAACACAAAAAATTATAACTAAAAAGGTTATTTGAAGTTTCAGTTGAATTTTCAAGTAGAAACGTAAAATTTTCTTTTTACTGAAGAAGCTGTGAAAGTGAACATACGTAGTTGAAGGTGATATCCACCGAAAAAATGGATACAAACCCAACTACAAATGTTGTGGTTAGGGACGAAAGGATGGACTTAATCGACGCTACTTGTGGTGATGCTTGGGCATTGGTAACGGGTAAAAAAAGAAATTTTCCTAATGAATCTAGGCATCCGAGAAAATACAAAAAAACCGAAACAGAAAATGCAACGCCAATATCTGTAAGTAAT